ATCCTTCCTCTATGCTCTATGAGAGAATATCCTTTGTAAGGTCTCACATAATGCTGAACTATTTGTCACTAATGTTAAGTGACAATGTATACTGCCTGGTTATTTGGGGTGATAAAATTTAATTCTAAGGAGACAGAAAAGTGAATCTTGTTGAAATGCAGATTTGCCGAACAGCAAAATAAAGCAGAAGATAAAGCATTCCATCTGGGTAAATCAGCTTGCAGGGGGGGGGAAGAGAAGCAGCACCTGAACTAAAAAAAAATGTTGCTTTTTATTAAGTCCCTTACCAGAGGCCAAAGTCAAATCAAAGCCACAAGGATGATGAATGGTCACACTTTGGCTATGTTGACCAGCGTGAATCCTCCCCCCCTTTTTTTCAGTTGGTTTGTCATAGTTAATGGAATTAATAGAAACCATAAAAACCATGTAAGAAACATAGAGTTGTATAAGTTAGGCAGCAAGTCATCTTGCCAAACTGGAAGAGGATATTATGCATTCAGATGTCTAGAAATGTAAAACATAGCTATTTAACCTCCTGCTTCATTTGCAGAAAGGAAGCCTAATCTGATCTTGCCTTATGAATACTGTTCCCCAGCAAGGGCTGCAGTAGCAGATAAGAGTGGGGGGAAAAACTAGATGTATGGGCTGAAAATCCTTGTAACCTTCTCCCAACAGAGGTCACTCTGAGCCCAGGGCATAAGCAAAACATGAGTTCAGCATGTCTCTTTCTGTTTTATTACTATCTTTTCAAAGAGTAATTTAATAGAATATTTTTACAATTATATTATTTAATTACCATGTACGGGCCAGATGCCCTTTACAGGTAGTCCTCAAGCTCCGAATGTAATGGAGCCTGCCCAGTCCATTCGTAACTCGAGGATTTGTAGGAGTGAATCTCATATCTTGAACGTGATTCACTCCCACGCATTCGCTAATTTAATGCGTGGGCAAATGCACAGCTCGTTAAGTGAACATGAGGTATCTCAGGGTGGAAAAGGCCATGGAGGGGCCTAGTGATGGAACGGGCCATCTTCAGACTACTCAAGCCCTCTCCCTAAGATATATCATGCTCTCTCCCCTGGAGGTCCCCACAATTGCTCCCTCGGCCAGTCCTATTGTGCTGGGTGAAGATCTGTCTCCTCTCCAGCCTCTGTTTCTTTCTCTGCTCCCGGCAAGAATGGATCTCTGGAAGCACGCAGCCACTTCCCACAGCCTCCATTCTGGGCCTCGGCTTGGTGGAGGCCTCCACGGCCCAGATCGAGCCTGTGGAGGCACATGGAAGCGTCCCCTGGCCTCCTTTCTAGGAGGCAGCGGCCTGGAAAAGGCCTCCGACACCAGGATCGGGCTTCCAGAGGTTTCTAGGAGCATTCCCCAGCTTTTGTTCCAGTTTCTTTTGCAAAGAACAGAGGTCTAAACTACCATGAGATCACACAAAATCAGTAGCGTGAGATCTCATGCCACTGATCTTGCGTGATCATGCATTACTTTAGACCTCCATTCTCTGCAAATGCACCAAAGGCCTGGAGCAGCCAAGAAAGCGAAGGATCTGCGATCTTTGCAGGGTGAGTATCCATGGACCTAATGCCTAGGGAGACCCAAGGGGGGGGGGGAGGGAATAGCCAGGATGAATGTTGCAGTGCTACTGCGGTCATTTGTAAAGGTGAACCACTTTGCCTTGGTGTAGGAATATTCCTAATTTGGGGACTTTTTTGTAAAAATTAGGGGGCACTTATTGTTCAAACATTCAAATGTTTGCTAAATGATTGCTCGTAACTCAAGGATTGCCTGTATTGAAGCTCTGCTTCATCTGCAGAATATAGCTTTCTCATAACTTAAATCAGGTGTGGACAATTTACTTTCTGATATATTACCACATAAGTCTGTCATGAACCAAACTGCATGCAATTAGTAAAAAAAAGAGGTTACTGTAGTCTATTTATTTGAAACCTACTTTTCTCCCTCCTTTTATCTTCACACAGATAGTCAAGGAAAGGTAGATCACTTTATCAGAGATCTGAACTGATTCATTGTAAAAGATGTATAAAATTAGATTAGTGGGCTTCATAAAACCAAGGAATGGGACAATATACTTAAGTGTGTTTATGTGCTTATTTTATTTGAGAGAGCAGTCTTTCCAAATAGCAACGAATAGACCTACATGTTGTGATTTCTTTTCCTCTCATACCACAGTACATTTTCTTATAAAATTAAAGCAGGCTAACAATCTGTATGATAAATTGGAAACATTTGCTTACAAATAAGATTCCAGATTATTTTTTTCCCCAAATACTGCTGAATTAGATCTGAGTTTTGGACTGAACCAATGAATTATTTTGAATTATTAATTTTTTCAGACGTAAATCTAATGACAAACATGTGCAGCTTCATTATATTTTGATCATTCCTAATTGCGATCTGAGCTGTTAAATACAAACAGAATAATATTCAAACAGATCCCCTGAGAAAACTAGGGTAGGGAGGAAAATGAAAATCTGAAAGCTAAACAACAAGTAATCAAATTTAATCAACGGGACCTCAATATGTTTATTAACTACAGATTTTCAGTTTGTTTTGGACAAACAGAATAAAATACCCATAGAAAAAGTATGGGAACTGTTCTCTGAACAGGGCTGAAATGTTACTGAACTTAAGTATCGTACCTCAATGTTTGGTCCTAGTACTACATTAATCTCCATTTTTCTGCCCATTCAGCAGGCCATTCTGCTATTAACATTGTACTTTAAAGGACATATTATCACAGTAAAATTACTTAGAATCACAGTTAGTATTTGAGTTTTGAAAATTACAAGTATAGGAATTCTTTACAACATAAGGTCGATTTGGTCTTCCTGGAATTAATTAGCTACAATGCTGCATTACAAAGCTGAATGAGTTTCTATTTATCTGCTAGAAACTAACAACGAAGTTTGGCCAAAGTTTGATTATGGAGAAAAAACAGCTTAATCCAGAAACTTTCGGGGCTTGGTTTTGTACATGGACTTTTCTATCCATTCTGTGAATTTCTGTAAGTTAATTATTTAGTTAACTGGGCTCATATGTCATTCCAGTCAGTACCGACCCTGAGTGGCTTCTGTACTTAAAATATGTAAACAGGATTAAAGTAGAAGGCATCCCCCATCCTATACATCATCATCATCATCATCATCATCATAATAATAATAATAATAATAATAATAAATTACTATCAAACAAGGAAAAATAGTGAAAACTGAAGGAATCAAGATGCCCCACAAAAATAGCATTAAGAGTCTGGATGAGGAAGAGTACTACAAATACTTGGGTATCCTTCAAGCTGACAACATCAAGCACACTGAAGTCAAGAAAAAGATTAGAGGTGAATACATCAAGAGAGTGAAGAAGATCTTAAAATCCAAACTCAATGGAGGAAATACCATAAAGGCAATCAACACCTGGGCAATCCCAGTCATTAGGTACACAGCTGGAATAGTGGACTGGACTCAAGCAGAACTAAAAGCAATGGATAGGCAGACCAGAAAAATAATGACAATGAATCATGCCCTTCATCCACGCAGTGACATTGATAGACTTTATCTACCAAGGCAAATAGGTGGGCGTGGAATGCTACAAGTACATCAGATGGTTGAAGAAGAAAAAATGGCTTTGGAAGAATATCTGAAGAACAATGATGAAGATGCACTGAAATTAGTATATCAGGAAGGCTTACTAACTACTGGAGAGACCAAACTGGCCTACAAGAAAGACCAAATGAAGAACAGAATAGGAAGGCATGGGAAGACAAAGCACTACATGGCCAATACATGAAAAAAATAGTGGGAAAGCAGATAATAATAAAACCTGGCAATGGCTAAGAGCAGGAAAATTGAAGAAAGAGACCGAGGGACTAATTCTGGCTGCACAAGACCAAGCCTTAAGGACAAATGCATACAAAGTCAAAATTGAGAAGACAGCAAAGACAGTAAGTGCCGCCTATGCAAAGAAGCTGAAGAAACAGTGGACCACTTGGTAAGCTGTTGCAAGAAGATTGCACAGACTGATTACAAGCAGTGGCATGACAAAGTAGCAACAATGATGCATTGGAAGATCTGCAAAAAATATCATTTGCTTGTAAGCAAAAACTGGTGGGATCATAAAATAGAGAAAGTCATAGAAAATGATAAAATTAAACTGCTCTGGGACTTCAGAATTCAAACAGACAAGCACCTGCAACATAACACCCCAGACTTAACAATTGTCGATAAGAAAGACAAAAAAGTCTGGATAGTGGACGTGGCAGTGCCTGGAGATAGCAGAATAGAAGAGAAAGAACTGGAGAAGATAACAAAATACAAAGACCTACAAATAGAAATAGAAAGACTGTGGCAAAAGCAAGCAAGGGTAGTACCAATAGTATAGGCTCCTTGGGTGCAATCCCAAAACAACTGGAGCACCACTTGAACACCATTGGCATTGACAAATTCGCTATTAGTCAATTGCAAAAGGCGGCCTTATTAGGAACTGCTTCCATCCTGCGACGATACCTGTAATACCATCAAACATCCACATCTCCTATCCCAGGTCCTGGATAAGGACTCGATAGGTAGACAAAATGCCAAATCCAGTCTGAACATCTGGCTGACTGTGCGATGATCCATAATAATAATAATAATAATAATATGTCTATATCGTCATGCACCAAAACAACACTAATCAAATAAACCCAGTTATCCCATCAAATCTATGTGTATGTGATGTATATGTATATATCAGTAAACCTCTAGTCACTTTTACTTTTAACCTGAGGTAGAGTCTGTTTGCAATGAGGCAATAAGTAGTCTGTACTTCTTTTTTAAAAGGCACAGACAGATATGGACAGTGGTACCAGAGTTTTGAGAGGGGTTATATTTAATATATCTCCTTTGGGGAACAGTGTGATGTATCCATCTCATTCATCCTTTGAGTTTCTAAAACTGAAAGAAAAGTGTTTTTTATTCTCATGGGAGTTGATATCTTGCATCTAGGGCTATGACAACACCGAAAGCAGTGTTCGCAAAGCCAGTGTATTTTGCCTCGTGGCCATCTATTCAGTGATTGGTGAAGAACTGAAGCCTCATCTTGCACAACTGACTGGGAGCAAGGTATGTGCACCACTGCTTCAAAGTATATTCATAGAACAAAAGGGGCAAGTCTTGAAATTGATAACTGAGTTCTCTTCCAAAAGGACATAAAAGAAATGTATATCTCAGTCACTGATTTTACTGGGTTGTTAGTTTTATGAATGACAAAGTATCTCCTTTACAGATAGATCTTTGAATCGGCTAAACAAGTGACTTCGGTTTGTCACACTTTTGGTAGATTTACACATAGAGCACTGTGACATACCCAAAATAGGAAGGGATAATTTGGGAACCAAACTGGGAAAAAAAGTTTATTGAACTCATTTTTAAATCATAAGCATATTTGGCATTTCTTAAAACCTGAAACCATTGACTTATTTAACGTAGGGTATTCTAGTTCCAAATTTCTTATATATTATCCAAATTTATTTTGATATTTTTTAAAAAAAAATGTGTTGGTCATATTTGGATTTATAAACTGAAGTGCTTTGAAGATGCTACCTAGTTTGGTAATGAAATGTCTGGGGGGAAAAAAAAACCAAATAATTATGGAACAAAGCAACTGCTTTATCCATATTTTTGTCATTTTGCTGTTTTTTATCAATTAGATTCCTTTTGTGTTCTTTTTAGAAAGTTGTTAATAGATGATTAAGAGTATCTATCCTATTTTCATCCTGTGTTTTCCAATATAATCAAGCACTTGTCAGGAAACCAAATAATAGCTGTTTAAGTTAACCCCCGTTAAAATATTACCCAAGCAGAAGGATTAGAATAATATTTTATCCCAGAAAAAAAATATAGGAAATAAAAGTTTATTCATAACTTGCTCCACACATTTAATTAAAATTAGAAGAATGGTCTCTGCATATATCAGTACTCTCTAATGCAATATACATTCTTTAAAAACGCCTGCGCTTTTTTCTTACTATAAAAACATTTAAAGATACTCATTTTGAATCCAGTGATAGTAACAGCTGAAAATAACATTAAAGATGAATAGATGTAGAGCTGAACAAATTAAGAATATAGGATTAGCAGTGTGCAAATTAACTTTAACTGATTTTAAACAATTTATTTGGAAACCTAATTTGAAATTTGGGCACTGACAAGGTTCTATGGATGGCAGGAGAAGACAGGGCTCAAAGGATTCTTTCAAACTCTGAAGACCACCCCTTCTTAACTTTCCTCTAAAATAATGCAAGCCGCAGCAAGAGAGAGATCTCATAAGAGACCAAAATCCTTTGCAGTGCCCAGAACATTCAAAACAGTATCGGGTATGCCAGGAGATGTGAAAAGGAGAATTAAGAATCAGCATGGGCATTAGGCACCTTGAAAATATATATTCTCAGAATGCCAACAGCCTCCTTGTTTCCACAGATTAGCAAGTAAACAAGGATCATTCCCGTATATGCCGGCGTACAAGGCGACCCGGCGTATAAGACGAACCCCGTCTTTGTCGCCGAGCCGCATTCCTAGAACGTCGTCTTATACGCCGGAAACTACCAGCATTTCCGACGTATAAGACGACTCGGCGTATAAGACGACCCCCGTCTTTGGCGCCGATTTTAGCGCTTGCGGAAGTCGCCTTATACGCCGGCGTATACGGTAAGTTTGCTGAGCCTCAAAATGATTAAAAACTAAATTAAAATTCATCATGATATGAGTGACAAAGTTTGAAGGGTACCCCTTTCCTTGTGTATTTGATTAGGTGATCCTGAATCTACTTACGATGTTCATTCTGTAGAAACATCTTGCTTAGGATAGATGTGCTGAAATCTGAGAACACAATTGTAATGGGAATCTGATGGAAAAGTAGTGTAGTATCAGTTATACTTTTCTTAGTATGAGGAGTATGAAAGACATCTGGATTCGATCAGCCTGTCAAGCTTTCCATTTTTTATCTTCAGAAATGAACAGCAGAAGCTAACATATGGATTTCTTATCGGTAATGTCAAAAAAAAATTCTACAATAAAAATATTGCAAAATAATTATTCAGTTTTTATCAAGTGTAGCATTACATCCACCTGAATAGTACTGATACTGTTCTACGTGCATGAAAAATGCACAATTTTACTTTTTGGAGAGAGCGACTTCAGTAACTGCTCCCTTGATTGTGGCAGTATACAAATAGTAAAAATAAATACCGTAACAATGACCTGCTCTGAAATGAATAAAATAACTGAAAATCGTGAAAGTTACTCTTCTTTGTCTTTTTTACAGATGAAGCTCTTGAATTTGTACATAAAGAGAGCCCAGACTACCAACAGCAACAGCAGCTCATCCTCAGACGTTTCTACACACAGTTAATGGAGATCTTTGGACATACGTGTAGACATAGAAACAATCAGCTGTGCCTCTCAGAAACCCTCCCCTCATCAGCACGCTCCATCTGCTGATGGAGGCCATGCAAATATTTATTGCAATCAGTATTTTTAGTCCTTTTAAAGCTTTTTATTGTAGGAGATTCTTGGAATTGAATATAAGGGAAGCAAGGCCTGGATTGCAGTTTTCATTAAAAACAAGGCAATAGTGTACTGTGGTTAAATACATTGCAGTTACATGCTGTCTCTGCTAAGATCTGAAGTAGTCCCAGAGATGCATAACACGTTCGTATTTTATCAAACAGATTTCTTTGATATTGATGAAGAGCTTGAATTTATATTAGACTATATTTGTATTATAGTCACACTTTTAACTAGCTGTTCTAGTTTCCCCAATTTCTCAAGCATCATTTTAAAACTGAGCTTACAAGTTGGAATGGTTTGCATTTATTTTCAGGCATAATTATACAGGCTATAAAATCAAGCCCTTCAATTAGTTTTTTTAACTAGAAAAAAACCAATAACAATCACCTGTGTGGCAAAGGTCATGAAAATTCAAGAAATCCCAAGCAAATATGCAACAGTACAATCTATACAGGGCAATATGGTTAGCTTTGTAGAACTGATTCAAGAGCTGCCTCTGCATGGACAACTCGATTTGCAATTTCTTCTCAGTGTATTTCAACATCTTTTTTCAAAATATTTGAAATTGCAAATTACTCTTAATATTGGTTCTAACCTACCTGACAATAGCTTTACTGTTTGTTTCTTTGTTTTAACAGAGCTCTGTTTTGTTACAGTATTTATGGTATTCCTTCTGTGACACAGATATCTGTTAGTGTGCAATGAGACTAAATGCACTGTAATGCCTGTATACTGGTAAAGACCTAATATTGCTGTCAGAGAAAAATGTCTCCTAGGAGATATGTGTGAAATTCTATTTCTGCTGCTTCAATGTTCCATGAGAAAATGTTCTTTCCAAAGCTCTGATTGGCTTCCTGGAGCTGCAACTCGGATAACCAGGCCTTCCTTCCTTAATAAAGGACTTCTTTCATTTGTCAACGATGTTCCTTAGTGTGACACTTGTTCTCTTAACTTTCACCTCCACTGATCAGGAGTCCTCCAGACTTAGAGTACTTCAAGAGGATAGCCTCCTCCTGATCCCATTCAGCCTGAATGATTTATAATGGTTTTTATGCGCCTAACATATCTTATCAAATTATTTCCATCTTAAGATTATCATACATGTACTTTTATTACTTTTGGCAGTGCTCAAAGGGCTAGCTTAATCTGCAACAATTTGCTTTCTTTAAAGCTGTACAACTGGGGAATGTAAGATGTATTTAAATGCTCTGGGCAAAAGGATTCTTTAGCTATTACTCTGTCCATACTGATGGAAGTAGATCTGCATGCTGCTGGCACACAAAAAGCAAGAGCCAGAATAGAGAGGGCTCCCTTTTTCCCCAGCACGGTCCAAATGTGCTCAGCTACTTTGTCTCTTCCTGCCTTAGACAGGGCTTTAGCTTTTTTGAGAAAAACCGATGTGTTTTTTTTCAGGGTCTTCTCCACTGACCCTTCCCTTTTCAAGCTATTGTATCTGAAAATTCACACAGAACAACCTGCCTGATGCTTAGATGGGGATGCCTCTGTTCTCACAGGGCACATCAGTGTATCCAGGGCAGGTGTATACAAATCCGTGCAATCCCTTTCACCATCTAAATCCTGTCCATTCCTTAATATAGTGCTGAATTATCTGAGGCATGTGGCTTTCTTTGAAAAGGTACACTATGTGTGCTTGCTGGACTACAATACAACACAAGATTTTTCTATCACTTCTTGTTAGCTCTCAGTAACCTGTATACCTAATGTACCATGCAACCTTGTCACATAAATCTTCTTTCTGTCACCCTTTCAACCCCTTTATTTATCAAGTGTAATGGTTCGCATTAAAGGACAACAATGAAATATTTGTAGAATGCAGAAAAAGTTTGCTAACAATAATAATGTTATAAACGGGAAGGACAGGCTGGCAAAGCTTTTCAAAACAGTCAGCCATCAGAAAGTTTCTTGGCACAGTGTTCACGCGCATGTATTTAATTTTGATTTTGGGTTGGTTGTTTTATTTTCTTTCATTTTTTGCTCTTTGTCATGTTACATCCATATCTGTATTTATATCTTATTTGTTTGAGTGTATCATGGCAAATGTACAGATGTTTTTATGTTAACATTTACATGATAGAATTTGCTAAAAAAAATAATAATAAAACTTTCTGAGTTTGCCCTAGAATAAAAGAAAATTAAATTTAAGCCCTTATGGGAGCTTCTTTGCACTACTTCTTTGCATTCCCTTAATGATGGAAGAGAACCTTTAAGATCATGTTGATAAAATGCTTGTACTAAACATAATTTCGTAACCTTCAAATCACATTTGAATCACACATGCACAACCTTAACTCTATGCAGGCTTTCAGAAAATAGCTGTGTGTTTGAGATCAGGTGTTTGGTCAAGGAATATGACCATGGCATAAAAGATGCATCAGAAAGCAGTTCTTAATGCCAATCTAAATGGTCTTTTTATAGGAAAAATGAAATGTAGAAATTACATGTTACATTTATACATCTAGAGTGCTATATTAACACGCTATGAATTGATCTGCCATCACAATCACAATCACTTGTCGCATTGGATGCATTTTTCTTGCACAGAACTGTTGCAGATTTCAAAGAGTCTCTTCCTAGAACAGTTCCACCTATATTTGATAATTGAAAGTGAAGAGTTTCAAGCACCAAGAAATTAGATGACATCTTAGAAGTAGTTTGTGTGTGTGTATGTTTATATAGCTACAAAAAATGTGATATAACCTCTGTATTGGTACACCACTGTGGAAATTCTTATTCCTGTACTGACCTTTTGATCATAGCATATTAATGTCAAGCAAGCCAATCTGGTTTTTATCCTCTATAACTGAAATTTCTACATGCAACTCTTTAGTTCCCAAGCTAGGAGAACAGGTTGGAAGAGTTGGCAATCCCGTGATTCTACAATCACAAATACTAAATCAGAAACAGAAATTCCATCCTTTTTTAAGGAACTGAATGAGTACCTGCTAAAACATAGTAATGGGCACCAAGTTTCTGCTACAAAGGAGTTAATCCATTTTTATTTTTTGTAATACCTGAATGTTGCAATGAAGACAAGAAGCAGGAGTTAAAAAGCCTTAACAAAGCATTGCCTATTAACAAAACAAGCATTGGGAATCATATTGTATCCTGAAAAAGTCTACCCACAACACAATTGTGCAATACAGAAGATTATTTCTTTTTCAAACAGAAAACTAAAGTTAAGAATAATGGGTATAATTAGAAATTGGTAATAAATTTGTTAAGAACTCTGATACTCGTATGCACATTAGTTTTTACATCATTTCTCCCACTGAAATAATTTCCATCGTAAGATCTATATACTGTATATTTTGTATATATTAGTAAATATTAGTGCCAAGAGAATAAAATGAATGACCTTTTAACAAATCTGTGTCTCTATGTATGCATTAATGCGAATGGAGGCGAGATTCTCTGCATACAGGTGGTGACTTCATTCAACAACTGTTCAAAATTACAACAGTGCTGGACGAATGGACTTACCATCAGTGCCTGGAGTTACAGCTGTTGCAGCACTCCATGGTCACGTGACCAAAATTTGGGCACTTGGCAGCCCACCACAGTTAAACTATAGGGGTGCTTCAACTTCCCCCACCTTCCCCCTCATCTATGCCCTTTTGACCCCCCTGGGCCCCTGCATTCCACTGCCTCAGCTGATCTTCGCTATCTTTTTGCTCTCACTGCTGACCCAGTTGGGACTGGGCTTCAGCTATGAAAAAAATAAAAGCCAAAAGCAGCCCCAGAGCTGTGGTGCCAAAATGCCCCTTTGTGTTGCTGCTGCTGCTAAAAAAAGTGGAGGGGGGGGGCAAGGATTTGCAGGACATGCTTCCAGGGGGGAAGAAGTTGCAGGAGAGTCAAAGATGTCTTGGGGCACACTGTACTTTACAAATTTCTTGCAAAGGAGCATTTTAGCGTACTGTGGTTCTGGAGCTACTTTTTGCTCCCCTGTCCTGGCCCTGTCCAGGAGCGTGAAGCAAAGGGGTTTTATGAAGTACTCTAGTTCTCAGGCTGCATTTCGCTTTCAAATTATGTTTATTTAGCAGCCTGACCTGGCCCAGCAGCCAGGCCAGGCACATCTCATCAGCACTGGGAACAAGAAGAGAGTAACCCTCAGCTGAGGCAGCAGATTGCAGAGAGGTGAGGACAAATATAGTTCCCTGGTTCATGACAAGCAGCCCCAGAGTTGCATGCACCTTTTTTTTTTTATTTTGGGAATCTGTAGATATGTAGACTGGCATAGTAACCAGGAGCAGAATCCTACTTTAAGTCCAAATGGATGGTATCTAATGAAAATACTTGATTGCACTGGAGTAAAAGGCTTGACATCCTATGACAACTCGTTTTTTTCTCAAAGAAGATATACATTGGTTCTTTATATCTGCCCCCAATTTTCACTAGTTTGGAGCTACAAAAGCAGTCACCTTTAAGAGTACTTTGGAATTAGAAGCTTTCAAGACCTATTTTGTCCCACTAGGATATTTTGTTGAGTTTATACTGCATTACATGACAACAATTTGATTACACAGTGGTTTACAATAGTATAAAATAACTGTAAAACAAGTTAACAGCTATTAGCCTACTGTCCTTTTAGAGCAGGGGTGTCAAACTTTCTGCGTCCCGTGACATGTGATGCATCGTGACTTTTTTCCTGTTGCTAGAGCTGGGGTGAGTACAACTTCTGCGTGACACATCCGGCCCGTGGGCCAGCAGTTTGACACACCTGTTTTAGAGTAATAATATCAATTAAAACCAGCCAACTCCTCCAAAGAATTGTAATATATAACCACAAGGTTTTAACCTGTCTTCTTAGTGATAATTAAAAATGTTTAAGTTTCTTTTGGGCAATTCTTTAAAGATATTCCTGAAAATGTATCCATTTCCTCCCCCCCCCCCCAATGTAAACATCACAAAGAGGATAGAAATGTAGAGAAATTTGGTTCCTTTCAGGTGAAAATTAAATGGATAATAGTAGGAAATCAGGTTAAGACCAAATAGATTTTAAAAAAATACCTGTCCAGAAACACTACCAAATCAACTGTAATCTCTAAAGAGAAAGTTGACCCTTAAAATATCCCAAACTATGTACCTGATCACCTGAAGCCTAATCAACATGCATGCTAAACAGGCACCAATATAGACACTTCTGTCTTCCCAGAATGTATTTAGTCCTCTAATCCCAGTTTCATGTATCAGTTCAATACTTCTGACTTACCTAATGTAAATGAGAAGGATAAGTAAGAACTAAGTGTTATCAGACTATTGATTTTGCCACTTATCAGAGTTATGCAGAAATACTTTATTGCTTGATGTATTGTTTGAAATTTCCATCTCTTCTAGCCATGTTATATGGAACTTGTTCAAAGGTTTCCTATTCTGTCTGTGAAAAGAAGGACAACCACAGTTCATACTGCATTATATGTCCCTAAACTCGGGCCATGGCCCACTACTGGGCCTTGAGCCTTTCAGAACTGGGCCACAGAAGTGGTGGAATAAGTGTGCACATGTGTGCACACATCCCCACTTGTTTAAGCAGTGAGTGAGCCATGCACACGGAACAATCCCCCCTCCCCCGCCAATCCACAAAGCCAAAGCTGAAAAGGTTGGGGAACTCTGTGTTAAACCATCATTGGTCATCTGAAAGGTGCATGACATACCTCAACAGCCTAGCATTTATGAGACAAGATCAGGCCAAAATATAGATTGTAGTGGGTTTGATATTGGCTATTTCAATGAGGACCAAGTAAAGTATACGTTGGACCAAATCGACCACACTTCATCTGCTTACTATAAGTTAAGAAAGGCAAGCAGGAAGGTAGACTGCAATAACACAAATGCCTTTGCTACGGCAACTGAAAGCCATCACACAAAACAAGACCATGTAATGCAGACATAAGAACGTTTTTATATACGGTATATTACTAACTTTTGATGGGGATATGGATATGTCCTTTTTAAAATAAAAAAAACAGCTGATGATGTTTCTCACCCTGATTTTAGCAGTGCTAAAACAAATACGTAGAGTCATAATACCCAAAGTATCTTGATGTGATTTGTCTGGACTGGGTAAGATCGGTTTTTAGCCCTGAGGCATTACAGAAAGCTCTGAAGTTTCCTGCATTGCAAATTGCATGTTAGACAAAGTTGATAGAAATGCAAATTTCGAATGCACATGTTTCAATACCCTTTACATCCCATTCAATCAAAAGACTCTTCTAAAAAGCTTAAAGAAAATGGAGGGGTTTATTATTTATTTATTTAATAGATATGGGGAGATAGTACTTCACTATAAACATGTCAACCAACATAGTTTTTCTCCTTAGAATTATCCAGCCTTCTGCAATTGGGTAACCCCTCCAGAAGTTTTAAATTTCAGTTCACAGAATTCCCAAGTGGGAATTATGGCCGCTAGGTCCAAAACATCTAGAAGGCATCAGGTTGCAGAAAGCTAGATTAAAGCAATGACAAGTTTTTGGAGATAATAGTGTACCTTTTACTTCCATAAGCTTACATAATTTTAAAATAACAATATTAGATTCTATCATAATAGTCTTAAAAAAATCTAACTGGATCTAAGTTAACTTTTCCAAGGAAAAGTATGTTATCCACCGTTCTTACCTCAAGTAGTCTAACCATAACTTTCACAGATAGTTTTACAGAACAAAATTATTAATGACTTTCATGTTTCAATTCAGCCAATTATCTTGGGGTGAATTTCCTATGAGACTGTGGTAAAAAAATACTTAAACCCAGAAAGATCTTTATAATTTAAAATACAGGTGGGCAACTGGGGGTCTTTTTTGTTGATCTCAAAGTCCACATGCATCATTACTGTTGAAAATTACTCAATTTACTCCCATCGTGGGAGATAGTTGAAAACTACAATGTAAGCTTCAAAGCAGACATTTCAGTTTAAAAAAAAGACAAGAGAATTTACAAGTAAACCCTGTCCATATTCCATTTGATCAAAAACTGTGCCCTGTGACACAGGAACAATCAAGACACTGAGCCACGTTGTACTGTTCTTATTATGCTATTTCATGCCAGGATCTCTTAGGTAAATGTCCTTTGGCTTAGATTCATTTACTGTCTGACCAATTGAATTCTGTTTCAATGAATGGAGCTAGATACTACACTTGTCTGTACTA